GTAGAGGTTTTGAGGTTTATTAGAAAATGAAGGATAAATAGAGCATCTGTGTATTGGGACACTTCATGCACATTATTGTGGGAGATAGGTTATGTATTGAAAACTGGAGGATTGTCACAGCATACCTACTGAATCCTGCATATGGAAACTTCTAACCTTCACCTTCCGCTTGGCCTTTGATATCATGGCAGCCAGACATTTACCTTCCAAACAGAAGATTAGAAGACTTATCTGAATTTGGCATGATGAGAGACCTAAATAAAGATGCTGACTCTGTCAGTTACTGACTTATTATTGCCTCCAAGTTCAAAACCTGCCCTTCTAGCCCTTCTTGTGATACTGGAGCTGGAAGCTCTGGAAACCACATTTCTTCCTTGACAGCTAGTCTGTGTTAGACTCTGCCAATAAAGGGGCATTGTAGGGAGACTACTAGGCTGGAGGTTGAAGAAAAGAGTTGATTCTTCCTATTTTTATTTTATACCACTGGCAAACTGCTCCGAAGACAGTTGGTTCCTGCAGTATTCCTTATGTCGGGCAGTGGTCTTGGTTCTGGTGAATGGCCTCTAGCATTTGTCACTGTGGCAGTGGTTAGCATGTTTTGCAGCAGCCCACTGTTCCTCAGAGATCTGTATCTTAGCCTTTTGGGACCCTTTCTATAAGTTGTTGTTTAGTCGCTAAGTCATGTCCCAACTCTTTTGCAAACCCATGGGCTGTAGCCCCCCATGCTCCTCTGTCCATGGGATTTCCCAGGCAAGAATACTGGGATGGGTGGCCATTTCCTTCTCCAGGGGATCTTCCTGACTCAGGGGTGGAACCTGCGTCTCCTGTATTGGCAGGCGGATTCTTTAGTGCTGAGCCATCTGGGAAGCCCCACTTGGGGATTACCCTAGAGTTTAAAACATGCATTCTTGGCTTACTAGGGTCTACCTTAAAGTTTTACTTATACCACTTCCAACAATGCATGAACTTTACAATGATTCAATTGCATTGACTTCTCTTATTTCATTTGTACCACTATTGTCATATATTTTCTGCCTGTATTCATTTGTTTGCCCACATTTTTACCATTTCCAGTGCTATTTCTTCTTTTCATGATTCCATCTGGGATCACTTTCTTTTTACTCTAAGTACTCCTTTTAGTAATTTTTTTAGTGCAGGTTTGCTGCACATTCATTCAACTTTTGTTTATATGAATCTGTTTTTAAATTTGTCATCATTTTAAAGGGTATATTTTCTCTAGGTGTAGCATTCTAGGTTGATGAATATTTTCTTTTAGCATTTTAAGGATTTACTTCATTAGTTTTTGATTTCCATCATTTCTGTTGAAAAGTCACTATATTGTTATTATAGGTCTCATAAAGGTAATGTGACTCTGCCTAGCTCCTTAGCTTCTTAGCGGCTGCAGAAAGCTGGGCTTCTTAGAAATTTTCCCTGAATTTACCACTGTAGGAATTGGGCAATCCCACGAGTGGATATTGTATCGAGTAGCTCTCAGTGTCAACCTCTTTTTCCTTAACTCAATGGAACCCTGATTTTTGCTGAAATGTCCTCTTGGGGAAACTCAGCTGATGTGGATTCTCTTTTCTCAAGGATTATAGTGCCTCATATCTTGTCTCAGATAGTTGCTGTCCATTGCTCTTACACAATTGTTTCCTGCATTTTTTTCAGGTTTATATTTGTCTAATGTGAAATGTTTTGCCAGTGCTAGAACCAGAAGTTAGTAAATGTATTTTATATATATTTGAATTCTAAAAGAGTTTTTAAAATGTCTTATTCAATGGCAGTATTATTGAAACTTGTTTATGGTTCTCCATAAACTTATGGAGAACCATAAGCTTAAAGGAGCAATAACTCATTTGGGAATACAATTTCTCAATTTTTAATGTCCATTTATTTTAATGTCCATTTATTTATTGCCAATTACTATCTTTTATACTTACTGCACATAAAGATTTAAAATAGCATTAAATTATTTTGTATGCAAGTAATACACAAGGTTTTTCTTTAACAGTTTGCAGTGAAATAATAGAAAGAGGATTTTGAATGTTGACCTTTTGAATAATTATGTCCCCCAATTTTGGGGCTGAATTCTCTATAAATTTCTTTTTTTAATGTAAGTGGTTGATACTTTCTTTCATGCCTATTAGTTATATAATTGGAAAGAGGATAAAGAGTTGGATGGGCTGTGCATATTTTTATTGATATACTAAAGAAAAAGTTAGTATTTTTAGAAGATTGTAGATCTTTGTTTTGGTCCTTGACTTTACAGTTGGTTCCTTTTCTAAAGTGAATCTCTGTGCATATCTGCTATTCATAATGAGTGTAATTTTTTAGCATTATTTTTAGTCATGATATGGAATGAAATAGAAATTGTGCCTGTTGTCTACCTGTCTCTAATTCAGGGATGAGCAACTGTTAGCCCTGGGATGGGAGTGAGAACAAACACATTTGCCTTTTTTCCCTTTTGCCAGACAGTGAAGAATATGTTATAACTTCGAAATAAAAAGTTTGAAACTTCTTATTGAAGGGTACTTTTTGTTGGACTTCATTTGATGCTTTTGATCTAGCTTGATTGGTTTGCACCCGGAATCTTTGTAGAGGCCTGCTGATTGTTGACTGTCACATGGCCTGAATTATATAGAGGCTTCATTCTTTTGGGTTAACACTGCCAACACTGTTCTGTAGCCTCTCTGTCAGCAGCAATTGTAGTGGTACTGTTGGCTCTTTTTGATAGTATAGCCTTACTTACATTGGGAAGGGCATTTCACAATCTAAGTAACGATGCATATTTAACAAAGTGGTATTCAGCTGTGTTTTGAGACTATAGATGTGAAAATGCCTGGCACAGGGACAGGTGATCACTGTTTTTTTGTCTGTGTGTTTAAATCATTGTAGCTTCCAGATGAATTAACCTTCAGTATGTGTATTTACACACAGGATTCAGAATATTTTCTCTTAATTTGTGTTTCCTTTCTTACTGATTGCTTTTCTAACCTAATGGTGTTAAATTTTTAAAAGTTTCTTTTTTTTTTTTTAAAGTCAGGCTTGAACTGACTGTTTAATTTATACACCAAGTATGTTTATACACCAGTTGTGGAAGGTGTAATCATCCAGAGTTAAGCTGACAAATGTAAACACTTAGATCTGTCTCATTTCATTCACAGGGTAAGTACTCACTGAGCATTTATTTAGTGGCAGTAAGCACAGATACACACCAGTGTCCTGCTTTTCTGTTTCTGTGACAATATAGTGTTCTCAGTTCTGTTTTTTTGTACATTAATTGCCTTTAAACGGTATGTAATGTTTTCTCTCAGTTTTATTATCTTTGAGAGTATAGTGAATCCCTAGCTGTCTTTCTAAAATCTAGTGTTTGCTTCCTGCTTTTCAGTCTAATGTGGTTTTATATATATATATCTATATATTTTTTTTTTAATGTGGTTATATTTTATTTAAAAATCTATTTCCTGTACTTTTTCCATTTCCTTTGTGGAATAATTGCTTAAATAGAATACACTTTGAGTAACTCCTGAATTAAAATCCCTATGATTCCAGTATAAAATAGGACTTAACATTACATCTCAGTTATAAATTTTTTTGTTTATTACCTGAATTTTTAATCATATTTTATAAAACAGCATTTTTAGACTAAGTTTGTGATATTTTAAAGATAGACTTTTTGGATATACGTATTTGAATTGTCTTAACTTTACTGGTACAGAATTAAAAATTTTAGGTAAGATTAGCATTGAACATTTGTGTATTTATTTTTTCGGCTGCACTGGGTCTTTCTTCCTGCCCACGGGCTTTCTCTAGTTGTGAATGGGGGCTCCTCTCTGGTGGTGGGGTGTTGGCTTCTCACTGCGGCGGCTTCTCTTGTTCTCAAGTGCTGGCTCAGCGGCTGTGCACGGGCTTAGTTGCCTTGCAGCACATGGGATCTTTCTGGGCTAGGGATGGAAACTGTCCCCTGCGTTGGCAGGCGGATTCTTGACCACTGGACCAGGGAAGCCCTTTATATATTTGTCCTGTTTAAGATACTATAAAGTGTCCTGCTGGTAAGGTTATCACTTTAAAAAAATGAAGATAGTGAGACTTTCAGGTATAAATTGAGTTATTCAAATTTATGATCTCAGCTGTTGTACTAAACAGAAATAAGGATATTTCTTCTTTTATTGTTTGTTATGATTTCAGGGGAGAAAAGTTGATTCTTTTCCTCTTTGTTGTGAGTCTTAAAGGTTAATACATGAAATTAACTCAATTTCAGTACATGGAATAGTAAGCTCTCTGTTAATAATAGTTATTACCAACAATCTCCTCTTTCTTTTTTTATGTATATTCCTCCTTTAAATATAACTCTTGGCCTCCTCTTCTATTCACTGGAATTATTTCCTCTTAAACCCAAGTAGAGAAACTGTAGCAAAACTCTGAAAATAATAGATTGAATTTGAAAAAAGTTGCAAAAAATTTTCCTTTCTCTGAAAACTATTTTTATTGTGTAATTGAAACTTTGACTGTTATTACTGTGTATGAATGGTAAGAGAGGATAAATGAAGTGTTGCTGTCAACTTTAGTGGCTGGAAAGCCAAGAAATGAGAGTAGTGTAGTTCAGTGCATGGGAGATTCAGGGAGACAAGGAGATAGAAAGTCAGGGCTGTACTCTCCTTTATCTGCCACCAAAAAGCGATATGATTTTGACATTTTCTGATCCTGTAACAGTTTCATCTGGGAGTTTTCAAGGAGTTAAATATGTGTCCTCTGAAGTATTTTCTAATTTTTTTTTTTGTCTTTTTCAGTTGAAAGGATGTTGTGTCTTTGATGAAAATTGGAAACGTTATATTTTATTGTAAGATTGCTTCTTTTGGAGTAAACTATGCTTAATAAAGGCATAAAGTGCCTAAAACTTACTAGAAAGTTTTGCATTAAATAATTATCCTAAAAATACTCATGTCTTTCATAGAAAATGACAACAATATGATTTTAATCTTTTGTATGCTTTGTTTTAGGTTGGTATAGGGGAGTTTCAACAAAGAAGCCAAATGTAAAGGTAATAAAAAGTTTATTGTTACCTTTTCTAATGTAGAAAGTGGCCTAGTGTGTTTGTTTGATATAAAAGCAATCCTTACCTTCCATCTTTCAATCTTTTACAGTAGCCACACACATTCTTTTCTTTACAGAACTGTATCAGACTCTTCTCTTTCTCAACAGTATTACAATGACTTTTTAAAAAGGACAAAATGTGTGTGGTAATAGTTGCAAAGCTTATTTTGAAAAAGCCAATTTAGGACATTTAGTATTTTTCCTTAAAATAGTTGACAGCAAGTAAATTGGCTTTTTTATAGGCCTACTCCTGTCTAGCCCTGTGATTAGTAAGATGACTTTATTTCTAAAATGAAAAAAACTTTTAAATAATTCTCAATTAGATACATCTCTGATCATAATGTTCTTGTTAAAATATGAATTTAAATAAGACTGTTAAGTGCCACATGCTAATTTTATGAACTAGATTTATATGTTTATTCTATTACCAAGTAACAGTAATTTGATCATACCAAATATATTTTAGTTGGCAGTTGTAATACATGTAGCAGCATTCTTTTTCAGTAATGCATTTGCAAAACCTTCTTTTTTGCATTTGCAAAAACTTACTTTTCTCTATAATATTACTATCTTTTTAATGTATTTTCTGTGGCTTAATATTTAACATATTATGCTTTTTCTTAAATAGAAAATACCAAAATGATCACATGTTAATTTTTATTAAAAATTTTCAGAGTTGTAATCATCAATTTCTCAGTAGAATCACTTATTAGTTTTTAAAGTAGTGATTATAAGAAGACAATACCTTCAAACTTTTAATTCCTCATAGCCAGGGCTTCTCATTTTTGTCAGAGTTGACATTTTGGGCTAGATAAATCCTTGTTATCTTATACATTATGAGAAGTTTAGCAAAATATATGACTTCCAGTCATTAACATCTCTCAAGTTGTGTCTCTAGATATTGCTAAAGGCCCTGGGGCTAATGGGTGGGGTGGGAGGTGGTTGGGGTAGTGGTGGTAAAATTGCCACTGGTTAAGAACCACTGAGATAAAGGGGTCATATATCAAGAAGATATAACAGTAATAAATATGTGTACACTGGAAATGGCGCCCCCGAATATATTAAGCAAATAGTAATAGATTTGAAGGGAGAAGTAGATACCAATACAATAATAATAGGGGCCTTCAGTACCCCATTTTCTGCACTGAATAGGTCATCCAGGTAGAAAATCAACAAGGAAATGTTAGACTTAACTGTAGTTTAAACCAAATATATCTAATAGACATATATAGAATATTTCATATATCAGCAATGAAGTACATGTTCTTCTCAATTGTAAATGGAACATTCTTCAGTCTAGGTCATATAACAAGGCTTTAGTAAATTTAAAAAGATTGAAATCACAGCATGTATCTTTCCTGACCACAATGGTATGAAACTAGAAATCAACAACAGCAAGAAAACTGGAAAATTCACATGTATGTAGAAATTAAAGAACACATTCTAAACAACCAGTGGACCAAAGAAGAGATTAAAAAAAATCTCAACACAAATGAAAATAGAAACACAATACCCCAAAACCTATGGGCTACTGCAAAAGCAGTTTAAACAGGGAAGTTAATAGTGATAAATGCCTACAGTAAGAAAAAAAGAAAGATATTAAATAAACCATCTTACTTTACATCTGAAGAAGCTGGAAAAAAAGAAGAAACTATGCCCAAATTTAGTAGAATCAAGAAAGTAACAAAAACCAGGGTGGAAATAAATGAAAAAGAGACCAAAAAACAAGGGAAAAGGTCAATGAAACTATAAGCTGTTTCTTTTTAAAGATAAAATTAACATAGGGGGGAAAAAAGACAAGGAGAAATGAAAGCGCAGACATTAAAAATGATACCACAGAAATACAAAGGATAATGAGACTGCTATGACAATTGTATGCTAACAAATTAAACAGTCTGTAAGAAATGGATAAATTTCTAGAAACTTAAAACCTATCCAGAATGAATCAGGAAAAATGGAAAATCTGAATAGTCCAATGATCAGTAAGGAAATTGAATCAGTAATTATTAAAAACCTCCCAACAAAGAAATGTTCAGGGACAGATGACTTCACTGCTGAATACTACTAAACTTTCAAGAAGAATTAACACCAGTCCTTCATAAAAGCTATTCCAAAAATTGAAGAGGAGGGGACACTTCCAGATTTGTTTCATGAGGCTAGCATTAGTCTGATATCAAAGCCAGAAAAGGACACTGTAGGAAAAGAAAACTACAGATCGTTATCACTGATGAATATAGATGCTAAACTCTCAACAAAATACTAGCAGTATAAAACGGTCCCATTCATGATAGCATACAACAATCAAGTATTTAGAAATAAATATAACCAAGGAGCTGAAAGATCTGTACACTGAAAACTGTAAAATGCATTATTGTAGTCCAGCTGCTGATGGGCTTGTGTGGTGTAGATTGAGTTTATTACTGACAGGGGTGTGGGCCAAAGAGTATTAAAAAAGTAGACCATTTGTGTTTTATTTTGAAGGAAGTTTTATACATCAGGAAAAGGAGTGAAACATTGATTGGAAAATGTAATTGTTTCTGAAACAATAAATTTTTTAAGAATTGAAATCAAATTATGGCAGATACCAAAGTGGAAACCATTTGCAAAGAATAAAAGAAGAAACATTTATAGACGCTCTCAAATTGATTTATTCTTTGTGAATACAAATGTTAACCAGAGTGTGAGAATTCTTTCTCTAACTCAGAGCTGGGTGAGTGTAAATTGTTGGTTAGATGATGATGTTGGTTTTGTAGATAAATGCCAAACTCTGTACATAAGTCTATTCTATCTTAAGTGTGATTCGATGGAATATTTCTAAAACTTAAAAAAGTTTTTGTGGTTGCTTAACATCAGTTTTCACCCCTTGTGAATAGACTCTGATTGCGAATGACAATGAAATTCCTGTTGAATATAGTTTGTGCAACTTTGTATTCTTAATTAATATGTAAAGTGGTTGCTACGTGAAGAGATCTACTGTTTTGTTGATAGAGTATTTCCATACTGAAATCTGACTGTTATTTCAGTCTAAATGAGATGTTAATCACAAATTACTTTTTCTAATAGGAAATCTAATCTCTTTTACAGGGGATCTTTCCTGCAAATTACATTCATTTGAAAAAAGCAATTGTCAGTAATAGGGGGTGAGTAGTTGGCTTTGCTAAACTTATTTATAATTTTTATTGGCTGCAGAGGAAGACTTTTTTCCTTTGATTCATAGTATAAAATATGCTATTGGTATGTTTTCCTGCAAAAATATACTTTATCATATATAATTCTGAAGATATAATTTTATCTTAAAATATTGACAATTTTAATTTCTTTTCCTATATACTGGAAAGGTAACCTGAGTTGTTATGAATTTCATAAAAACAGTTAAACATGCAGTATATTTTACAAAATGATGTGTTATTTTGAGAATAGTCTTTGATAGGATAGGAGTTAGTGATAAACCTGTCATTTTGTTTCTGTGTATGTAAAGTGAGGGAGACTTTTAAAATCTTCCCTTTTTTGCAAGTTGAAATTGAAAAAAGCTATGGAAATGGCAGCAACCCACTCCAGTATTCTTACCTGGAGAATCCCATGGACAGAGAATCCTGGTGGGCTACAGTCCGTAGGGTCACACAGAGTTGGACGTGATTGAAGTGACTTAGCATACATGCACACATAAAGGCATACCTTAAGGATAAAATGATAGTGTATATAATGGATATGTAGTTTGGTCACAAAATTATGAGACAAAAGCAATTGTTGAATAAAAGAGAATCAAGATGTAATTATATCAAAATGTTAATATCAGTTGCTTTTGCATTTTCAAATTGTGGGTGATTTTAAAAAATTGTTTACTTTTAATGCCTTATTTTAAAAAGTAATACATATTATTGTAGGATTGTGATTTTATTTTTAAAAATTAAACATCATTTTAAAGATGCTGTTTAACTATGATAGCTTTGGGGACTAGAAATTATGTTTTTGACCAGAGGTTGAGCTAGCATTGGAGTATCCTTCTGGTAATAAGTTAGGATTTAGTCAGGAAAAGAGAAACTTGTGAGTCATTTCATAAAATAGAATTTAACATAGGGAATTTTAGACACATATTTGGAAAAGACCCTGATGCTGAGAAAGACTGAAGGCAGAAGAAGAGGGCAACAGAGGATAAGATGGTTGGATGGCATCACCAATCCAGTGGCCATGAACTTGGGGAGACTCCGGGAGATGATGAGGGACAGGCAGACCTGGAGTTCTGCAGTCCATGGTGTCACAGAGAGTTGGACAGGAATTGCTGACTAAACAACAACAACAAGAAGTTTGAATAGTGAAAGAAAAAAAGGAAGAAATACAGGAATAACACAAAATAATCACTGCAGTAAAGCATTCTGTACTCTGATACCTGGGAATACAAAAGATAAAGGTTGGGAATACCAGAACCCAGAAATTGTAAATATTTTAAGATATATATTATATCTTAAGAAAAAGTACATTCTCTAACATAATCACAGAATAATTATGACGCTCAGGAAATGTAACATATATATAATAGTTCAGGACAGTCACTCAGTCATGTCCGACTCTTTCGAGATCCCATGCACTGCAGCAGCATGCCAGGCTTCCCTGTCCATCACCAACTCCTGGAGCTTCCTCAAACTCATGTCTGTTGAGTTGGTGATGCCATCCAACCATCTCATCCTCTTGTCCCCTTCTCCTGCCTTCAATCTTTCCCAGCATCGGGGTCTTTTCAAATGAGTCACTTCTTCGCTTCAGGTGGCCAAAGTATTGGAGCTTCAGCTTCAGCATCAGTCCTTCCAATGAACACCCAGGACTGATTTCCTTTAGGATGGACTGGTTGGATCTCCTTGGAGTCCAAGGGACTCTCAGGAGTCTTCTCCAACATCACAGTTCAAAAGCATCAATTCNCAATAAAAAGTAAGTTAATTTAGCAAGGCTGCTGTTCAAAAGACCAAAATACAAAAATAGTACTTCTATGAATATAAAACAACTGGAAAATAAAATTTAAATAAACAATACTATATACAACAATATTTTTAAACATTACTCTTTAATTCCTCCTCACTTTCTGGTGTTACAATGGTATCATCTGCATATCTGAGGTTGCTGATATTTCTTCTGGCAATCTTAATTCCAGATTGAGATTCCTCCAGTCAGACTGTACATATATTTACATGATGTACACAGCATATAAGTTAAACAAGCAGGGTAACAATATACAGTCTTGACATACTCCTTTCCCAATTTTGAACCAGTCAGTGTTCCATGTCCAGTTCTAACTGTTGCTTCTTGACCTGCATACATGTTTCACAAGAGGCAGGTAAGGTAGTCTGGAATTCCCATCTCTAAGAATTTTCCACAGTTTGTTGTGATCCTCTGCCTTTTCTAAAACCAGCTTGAACACCTGAAAGTTCACAGTTCACATACTATTTAAGCCTGTCTTGGAGAATTTTGAGCATTACTTTTCTATCATACTATAAAATATATAGTCCAAATTCAAATGTCCCTAATCATCCCATGAATATTCTTTATATCTGTTTTCATTTGGTTGGTTTTTTGGGGGTTGGGTGGGATATGGTTCAGGATCCAGTCAAGAATTAAATATTATATTTCAACTTTGTCAGCAGCTCTCCAGGCTTGGTTTTCTTTTTCATTTTTATGTCATTGACTTTGGTGAAGTGCCAGGCCAGTTGTTTTGCAAAATGTCCCTCAGTTTGTGTTTGTCTGTTTCCTTATGGTTAGATTTGACTTAAGCATCTTAGATAGCAGTACTGCATAGGTGGTGTTGTGGATTCAAATGGTCAAATTTTTCCTGGATGTCTTCTTAGTGCTTGTTTAGATCAGCAAGACGGGGACTTAGGGTTCTGCCTTAGCAAATATCAACCAGGAATTGAGGGTCTTTCAGTCAGAGAACATGCATTGTGTTTCTATCATGTGCCTTCTTCCTTGCTTCTTGCCGTACTGTGAGGGGTATAACTGTACTTTCAGTGCTCTATAGGGTATATCATCTGCTTCTTGAGAAATTTGTGCCATCTTTACTGAAGTACTCGTTGTTTTGTTTGGTTGACAAGGAAGTGAAATTGTTTGAATACTCTTATCTGTGAAAATATTCTTGTGGGAACTTTAAAAATTTTAATATTTTCAGTTATCTTCCTAAGTGTTTCTTGATACCTGGATTTTCTTGCTTGTAAAATGATTCAAGTATTATTGTTGCTTTTTATAAAGTTTCACTGAAAAACTTACACATTTGTAGTAAATTAGAGGATTTTAGGGTTGATAAAGAAAAAAGACATGACCATGAGATCGTAGCAGCACATAATGGGCTTTTATTTAGACAGAGCTCTGACAGGTTGCAAAGGAAATTCCATCTCAGCGGACCTTTCAGAGACAGCAGTGCCAGGCCACAACCAGAAGGGGAAAAGTATACTTGAATTCTTTGGGGAGAGGAGTACCAGAGAGGGAACTCATGTGTCTAGATCGTATTACTCATTTACAAGATGGTACGTCTCTGGTTCAGAGAGCACCTCAGGACAACAGCAGCTTGGAATCTTTTATAGCCCTAAGGCTTATCTTATCTATGGCTGGCAAACACTGAGTGCAGTTTGGTTAAGTATGTGATGATCAGTGGAGTCCACTGTAAGGAACCTGCCTAACGGTGTTGGCTAATCCACTTGGTGTATGGTACCATATCGAAGTCTCAGGGTTACCCACTGCTACTGGCCAGTTCTGATTCCACAGTTATGGTACTGTTACTGAACTGAACCTTGGTCTGCCCATGTGCAGTAAAGCCAATCTACTAACACCAGATTGTGGTGAAGGAAATGCAGCATTTATCACAGGGCGCCAAGCAAGAGGTCCAGGTAGCAAGTGCTTAAAAGGGCTGAACTACCTGAAGGCTTTCAGAGAAGAGTTTTTAGATAGGGTGAGGGAGGGGGGTTCTGGGATGTGAGCAGTTCATGGATAGTCCCCTGAATGGTTGGTGGTGAGATAATCAGGAGTCAACATCATCAACCTTCTGGTTTCAACCTATCTGGGGTCTGCCTGCTTGTGAGCAGCATGAGGTTAACTTCTTCCATCTGGTAGGGGTTTCAGTCTCTGCAACAAAGGATATGGCTCATATTATTATCTATAATGCTTGAGGAGGAACTGAAGGTCCTTGAGTTTGTTTTAACGGCTGAACTATTATTAACTTGTCTTGCTTGACTGTTTTCCTTTATTTCTGTATTTTCTCACTTGTCTGATTAAATTTACTCTTTGGAATTCAGGAGGACTTAGGAGGCTAAAGGACTCTTGTCTACAGACAAGAGTCAGGCAGAGGACATTGTGGAGTTGAGGACAGCATTCTGTTCTGGGAAGACCCTATAGGGTCCTGCTTGGTTCAGTACCAGATCAGTCTTGAGTAAAACTCCATGGAGCTGATCTCAAGAGCAGCTCCTGGACCTTACACCACATTCATCTTGGAGTGGCTAGGAAAGGAAGCAGATCAAATTCATGGGACATTGGGGATAGTTGGTATAAGACATTTTTGTAAATTGGCTTGCTCTGCAAGATTACTCATTTGAGTGAGCCAGTCTGAAAGCCTTGAAGCAAGGTAGGAACACCCTCATCACAGTAGAGAAGAAAGGCCTTTTTCTGCTGCAAAAGGAGGTTTCGTAGGAGCAAAACTTAGGGTCGTTTGTGTTATCAGTGTCTCTACTATCTCTACCATTTTTGTCCAAGTCAGTAACCTGCTTTTTTGTCTTAATATAGATATAAAGGCCATAAATTCAACTGACCTTGTAATTCAGAAATGATCAGGATCAAAACTAGAGTTTGTTTTTTGGCTATTTGAGCACTGAAGAAGAAAGAGAAAACTGCTCTGAACTCTTACACAGAGCATCAGTAAACATTCAGCTTTTGGTAGCCCTGATTTCCTGACTAGAGATTATCCTTCCAATTCTATATTATGTTGTTGTTCAGTTGCTAAGTTGTGTCTGACTCTTTATGATGCCATGAACTGCAGCAGGCCAGGCTTCCCTGTCCTCCACTGTATCCTGGAGTTTGCCCAAACTCACATCCTTTGTGTCAATGATGCCATCCAACCATCTCATTCTTTGTTGCCCCCTTCTCCTCCTACCCTTAATCTTTCCCAGCATCA